GTAGTAACAGGTGCCTTACTAGTAGTAACAAGAAGCTAGTAGTAACAAGTGCCTTACTAGTAGTAACAATAAGCTAATAGCTTCTTGCTCCTAGTAGCGATGCCAGGAGCCCCTAGTAGCGTCCTTGCTCCTAGTAAGGTAGGACAAGTTGTGTCTTCTTTTGACTCTTTGGGCGCTGAAAACGACCATTCTTCGGTCTGTGCACGCCTTTGTCGCTTGAACCCGGAGGTTGTGGAGCTCATGGACGCCCACAAGGGTTTCGACATCATCACCGCTTCTCGGCTTTCGGGCCGCTTGCTGCCGTTTCTGCCATGCACCTGATGGCCTCCAACCCAATAGCAAACTGAAGTAAAGACCTTTTTTGGGGGGGAGTAGGCCGCTAGTAGAGGTAGCTAGTAGCACAGGTAGCTAGTAGTTTCAATAGCTACTAACTACTGGACACAGGGGAGCTCGCGCTTCTTCAAACAAACTTTCACGGGAAGCTTCCTTGAAAAAGCGCTCGCACTAATGATTTGGTTCCTAGATTTCTAGGGAAACTTAACTAATAGCCTCCAACCTACTAGCGATGGCCTCCATGCACCTGATAGGCAGTTTTGCAGCCGTTTCTTGTGTTGTGTCGGACTGGGTTTTCGAGAAAGAAGGTGCTCGGAGCAGACTTAGCGATTTGCAAATCTAAATCGTAGACCCCAGGAAGCTGCAAGTCAGAATGGTTTGCGAAGAGGGTAGGAACCACTCGGAGCCCAAAGATCTCAGATCTCAACAGTCAGGAGATACAAACCTATGCAGTGTTTATGCTCAATCAGCAACAACACCGGCAGGGAAAGCTGGAGTACGGGAAACAGGAAGGCAACGTAGAGGACAACTAGTGGGAGCAAGATGGCGACATGCCCTGTTGATGGCGACATTGTCAAGGGGTCCCGTTTTATTTCATGTCGATTCCATTTCCTTTGAACTCGTTCTCCTAATGAGTGACAGACTTGTGTTTGCTGAAGCGGCTTGAGGCATCCATCAAGGCAACCAAGAAGAAGGAGTTGATGGTTATCATTGGTGTTCTGACCTTCTTGCTCCTTTGACGATTTCAGGACGTGACCTTTTCTCTGAATGACTGTCGAGACAGATGAAGAGGGATTCCGAGTTCACCGTACGTAGCTTGGGGCACGTTGTGGACATCGTGAAGAAGATGAGCAGATTGAGTTTCTCTGTTTGGCAGTTTGCAGATTGAGCTGCAGGAACCGCTTGAGTACAGTAAAACTGAGGCTTTCCTCCGTGCTGAACAACTTGCTTCCTGGAATGCAGTCGGTGTGAACCCATGTCAATCCAAAGCCGTATGCTCTTCATTGACTGTTTTCGTGTATCATTGAAAAGGCATGAAAAGGCTGGGTGGGTTTGTTTTTGCTCTGCCACTTCATGGTTTTGAAGACTTCTTAAATGGACCAGAAGCTATAAGAAGGGGCTCCTGGCCTTACTAGGAGCAAAGGACGCTACTAGGGGCTCCTGGCATCGCTACTAGGAGCACCCAACAGATTTGTTTGTCCTTTGCACGGTGGAATCGGGCACTGGCATTGCCGCAGGGCTAACCGGAAGCACGACCGACCGGAGTGAGAGCCGAGGACTGTGGTCATCGTCATGGTCTCACTCCTGCAGAAGCTGGTGAAGGCGCAGATCTGGGTGGTAGATGCAGGGGGATCCATGGAGATCGGAAAAAGCAACTCATTAAAAACGATCATATTCACAGTGGTAATAAAGGCAAGACCAAGAATGTGGTTGTTGTGGAAGACGGTCCAGTAGCAAGGTGCCTTACTACTAGTAGCTTGTTACTACTGGTAAGGCACCTTGCTACCAGTAGCAAGAAGCTACTAGTAGAAGTAAGGCACCTTGCTACTCATTGTTATGAGATGCACATCACACTGATTTGCCATTTCCAAGTATATAGACATGATCCTGGTACTCCACTGCCTGAAAACCATGGGCGTGATTGATGCACAAACATACGGAAGCTCCAGAAGGCACTGCACTACAGATGACATAGTTGTTAGAAATCACTGAAGAATGGACCTTAAGCCATCAGGGTTTGATTAAGAGAGAATGCTCCTGCGCGTTGAAGGTTCGTCAGATGGAGCCGGAAATTGGCACGCACTTTTCACCCTCCAAGGTTTTTCGAAAACATCTAAGGTTGCCATTGCTAGTCGGTTGGAGGCCATCGCTCTTAGGGTAGAGGCCATTGCTCTCAGGGTGGAGGCCATCGCTAGTAGGTTGGAGGCCATCGCTAGTAGGTTGGAGGCCATT